TGGCTACTGCAGTTCTCCAAATATGTGAATTTATAACCTCGCCTAGATTACTAGGTCACGAGTATTCTAGCCGGTCCCAAGCCCGGATAAAGAGGGAGGGTTGGGGCGTGGTGCTAGCAACTCTACCCCCAAAACTTAACCAAATTGCTACTAAAACTTCAACGCACAAATATATATTAAAAATTCTATAAATACAAACAATAACCTTATTTTTCGCTGGAATCTGGGAAGCGAAATGACGCAGGCTGGTGAAAGCCTTCGGGAAGCCAGTCAGCCGATGTGCCTTCTTTCGATGAGAGCAAAAATAAGGATGGGGACGTGGAATATTCGTACAATGTACGAAACTGGAAATGCTGCTCAGGTAGCCACAGAAATGAGGAGATATAGAATAGAAGTGTTGGGAATCTGCGAGAGCAGATGGAACGGATGTGGAAGGAGCCAACTATCAACTGGAGAGACAATAATCTACTCCGGTCACCCAGAGGACGATCACGAGCACACCTAGGGAGTAGCCATCATGATGTCACCAACAGCGGCTAAGGCTCTCATGCAGTGGGAACCAATCTCCTCCAGGATAATGACAGCCAGGTTCAACTCAAAAGGAAAAAAGGTTACAATCATTCAGTGCTACGCGCCTACAAACGCCTCAGAACATGAGAAGAAGGAGGATTTCTACAGTCAACTACAAACAGTAATGGACAACGTCTCAAAGAGCGATATCAAAATCCTGATGGGTGACATGAATGCGAAACTGGGAGGAGACAATACAGGAAGAGAACTCACCATGGGTCGCGAGGCCCTCGGTGAAATGAACGAAAATGGTGAACTGTTCTCAGACTTCTGTGCCTTCAATGATTTGGTGATTGGTGGCAGTGTGTTCAAACACAGGGATATACACAAGGCAACATGGATTTCTCCAGATGGACACACCAAAAATCAGATAGACTTCATTTCAATCTCAAGGAAGTGGAGACGGAGCCTACTGGACACAAGATCGAGGAGAGGAGCAGATGTGGGTTCAGACCACTATCTAGTACAAGGGACTTTCAAGGTGAAGCTGAAAGCCTCGAGGATACCTGGGGATAGGCCACAATGCAAGTTCAACACGCAAAAGCTGAAGGACACAACCACAAAGGACACTTTCACTGCAGCTGTCAGAACAAAGCAGGAAACACTACGTCGCACCACTAAGGAATCAATACGTGGAAGACCATTGGAACTCTCTGAAGGTGATTTTCAACGAAACATGTTCAACGGTTCTAGGAAGAAAGAAGAGACGAGATAAGGAATAGCTCTCAACGGACACTTGGAAGCTAATAGAGGAGAGGAGAATGGTGAAAGAAAAAATGATTCAATGCAAAGATGGACAAGAGAAAGAGACGCTGAACTCAACTTACACAGCACTGGACAAAGAAGTGAAGAAGAGTACCAGGAAGGACAAAAGACAATTCTACGACAACCTGGCCACTGTAGCTGAGAAAGCAGCAGGCAAAAGGGACCTGAGGACACTATATCAGATAACCAAATCTCTATCGGGGAAGAGATCAACACAAGTGAAACCTATAAAAGACAGCCAAGGGAACCCAATTACCAAGGAAGAAAGACAGATTAAACAATGGGTGGAACACTTCAAAGGACTCTTGAATCGACCACCACCTACAACCCGTCCAGAAATACCAACAACAGCACGTACACAACTGCAAGCTGACACCAATCCTCCAACGAAAACGGAAGTCATGAATGCAATCAAGCTTCTGAAAGCTGGAAAAGCAGCTGGACCAGATGGAATACCCCCTGAAGCACTGAAAGCGGACCCAGAAACGATAGCAGAAATGCTGATTCCACTATTGCAAAAGATCCGGAAACAGAGAAAAGTGCCTACTGACTGGAGGAAAGGTTACCTCGTGAAACTACCAAAGAAGGGCGACCTAGGACTCTGCAAGAACTGGCGAGGAATCATGCTCCTGTCGACGCCAAGTAAAATCCTGAGTCGCATCATCCTGGAGAGAATAAAGGACGCACTGGATACAGAACTCCGACCAGAACAAGCTGGATTCAGGAAAGGCAAATCATGTTCTGACCAAATTGCAACTCTACGCATTATCATCGAACAAAGCATGGAATGGCAATCAAATCTCTACCTCAACTTCATAGACTTTGAGAAGGCCTTCGACAGCGTTGACCGCGAAGTAATTTGGAAACTACTCGAGTACTACGGCGCACCGCAAATATTCATCAGCCTTATTCAACAGCTGTACGACAACGGCACATGTCTAGTGATCCACAACGGAAAATTCAGAGAAGCGTTTGGAGTAAACACAGGAGTCAGACAAGGGTGCTTATTATCACCAATGGTATTCCTAATTGTGGTGGACTGGATTATGCGTCAGACAGTGGGAAACGAGAAGACAGGGATATCCTGGACCGACATGAAGAACCTAGAAGACCTGGATTTCTCAGATGATTTATGTTTGGTGTCACAGAAAATCGAAGACTTACAAGCGAAAACCGACAAACTGGTCAAAGAAGCAGCAAAGACAGGATTCCAGGTGGACATAGACAAGACGGAGATTATGAAAATAACCAACCAACAACAACAGCAACATCCAGCGCCAATCACCATCAACGAGAGGGATATGAAAGAGGTTACTTCTTTCACTTATCTAGGGAGCATTGTCTCAACTACAGAAGGAACGGACGGACGAGGATGTCAAATCGAGAATCGGGAAGGCGAGAAACACATTCATCAACCTGAAACCAATCTGGAAATCTTCGTCACTCACCATCAACAACAAAATTCGGATTTTCGATACAAACGTCAAGTCAGTTTTGCTATACGGATCAGAAACTTGGAGGGTCACCAAGAATATTTCTAACAGGTTGCAGACCTTTGTCAACAACTGTCTTCGTTCTATACTCAAGATCAGATGGCCGGAAAGAATCACCAACAGGAAACTATGGGAACAAACAAAACAGGAACCAATCGCCAAACAACAAATATGCAGGAGAAAGTGGAGATGGATTGGAAAGTCGCTGAGGAGGCCACTGGGTGACATCACGCGTCAGGCCAGTGCTCGAGTGGAACCCGAAAGGGAATCGGCGAGTGGGACGTCCAAGGGTGACATGGAGGAGATCGTGTGATGAGGAACTGAAACAGTATGGACTAACATGGATGCAAGTGAAAAGTACAGCAGAAGACAGAAGCAAGTGGAGACGTGCAGTTGAAGCCCTATGTTCCACTAGGAACCCAAGGGAACAATAATATAATAATAATAATAATAAGTGGTTATAGTCCAGTCTTTCAGTCATCCATTTCGATCGATAAAACTTCAAAACCTATCTACTGACTTGACCTCCTTGCCTAAGAATATACTCCTGAGCACAATATTGTTCCTCATCTTATGGCTCTTGACTGGGCAGACGGAGTGCAGAAAGCTGTGTTTGTGGGCAGTTAACCTCTTCAGGTGACGACACCTCACAGTCAAAAAGGGACAGTGTGAAGTTCTGTACAGTGCACTCAGTTTCTGATGGATAGCCAGATATATCGTCAATGGGATCTTGAACTTATTGAGTTCCATGTAAAATTCTGAGCTGATATATATATCCCAACTGTTTAATATTTCTGTGTTTGACTTCTAGTCAAGCGTAGAATCTTAATTACGGAAATGCTTTCCTAAAATGGCGTCTTGATACTTTGACTTACACATGCACACAACAAGTACATTCATTAACTCTACCGTTATTATGAGTGCGAATTTGAATTCTTCAGTGATACTTGACACTGTTACGTCTTATAATAATCCTCCGAGATTCTTCTCTTATAACCAGTTTACCAACTTTTCCTACCAATTTTTTATCCTTTTTTACTTCGAAATTGAAGAATATGTGCGAAGAGCAGTAGCTCGAAGAAGTGCGACACAGCTTAATAACACTTGAACCTAGACACGTGTGAAAACTTGGACTGCTGTATTTCTGTACAAAGTGTTGAGTCTCACTCAGCCAGCAGTGCGACATGGGATTATAGGCATACAACTATAAATACTACATTTTTATTTTATTCATTTGCTCTCAGAGTGGAACATAGGGATTCGTTCTTGAGCTTCCAAGATTCGGTAGCACTGGTTTTATTTTCATGGGGTGGAGTTGTCAGTCTAGCGTTTAGCCTTGTCTCTTTACTAGGCTTACTGCAGGCTTGGCGATGTTTAGGAGTGCGTCGGCCGGGGATCGAACTCCAGACCACCTGCTTAGCTGAGTGAGTTTAAACACAATTTTTATAAGGATTTGATTTTTCTGAACTTTGACCACAGATTGATATCAGTTAGAGTGTAACGACAGAAGACAAGAGCCAGGCAGCAGATCGTTTACTGAGAAAATCAAAAGATATTTATAGATTTTTAAGTGCATTATTAATAGCGTTATTGTTAGCAGAGAAGCAACGTCTTCTGATTGATTGTTTTCTTGCTAAAGGTTATTCTGTACTGCTTGTGACCGTTTCTTAAAAAGTTAAGGCAGATATTTGCCAATCGTAATTGCACATGTTAAGTCTGCTGTGTTTGGTTGTTGAGTTCCTCAAGGTTAAGCTTTGTTTTTCTCATAACCCGAATCAGGGTCATGAGAAAATTCGAACTTGAACTTTGACGTAAATTGTTGTCTATGATTTTGACTTGTGGACAGCTCTCACCACAAGAGGAGCATTGAAAACCAGCAGGGAGTACTGGACAGCTGTTTCGTCCTAGTCCAGAACTCATAAGCAGTACGTACCCACCGAAGTTCGAATCCAATACCTTCCGGTTACAACACAAGCTCGCAGACCATTCACTTACTAGTACCCAACTCCATGGCCTGTGAATTCTCACTTCTAGCGCCACCACCAGCCGATATCATTGGCGAGCATTTGTCTTTACTCCTGACCACCGTAACTTAAAATACTGGACTCTCGAAATTCATAAAGAGAACTAATTGTTTCATATACTGGACTCATAGGAAAACAAAGTAATAGTAATAATAATAAAGTTTTATTGAATTTTTGATTTGATTTGATAAAAGACAACAAACAACACAATATTGATGAAAGCAATTTCAATAATCGACACACATCACAGTTTGATAAAAGCATATATTCGGAATGACTTAATGATGATATCACAGTGAAGTAATAGGCCTTTTAAAAACTATAATAATAATAATAATAATAATCAGTAAAACAAATATGATGCACAATATGTGAAAGTACACAAACAGAAGTGTAGATAAGGGAATGAAAACAAAGGCAAACAAACCTCAGAGACAACATTTTTTATAAAAATGAAATCCAGACAATACGTAATAGAATATTAATGACTAGAGTGCATATTGGGAAACAATAATAATGATAATAGAAATTTACCTAAGGCAAGAACAAACAGATATAAGGTATACTTGTTATCAGCCAAACAAAGAAACAAAACAAATGCAATCACCCAAGATGTATGTAAATGAAGAAATAGTTTATCACAACATATATGATATAAATTGGCAATTTCATCATGATATTATACCTGTTGTACGCTCAGTTAATCGTTGTAGAAGATTTTGAAAGCTAAAATTTCAAAACAGAGGAAAACAACACTGAGCACTTCAGTTGAGAGAAGATAAACCACTAAGTGAACAATTTTGTAAGCTAATAAGATGATAAACGTCAGTGGTTCAATGATAGGATGTTCACCTACCTACCACATGCACATGGTGCGAGGTTTGATTCCTGGTAGAGATGGACTGTCTAAATCTCGCCTCGGACGGTCGGTCGGTTTTCGACAGAGAACTTTGCACATATGTGCGGCAGTTCATGTAGATGGCTTTTATTAACTTTAGGTTTTAGCTTATTGATAGCTCTCACGGCTGTGTCCACAGCTAACTGTTTGTTGTGCCAGGCTACCTCGAGGGAAGTCCTGCTGTCGACCTCAGAAACTCGTTTCGCTATTTCTTCAATAAATAAGGACTCAGTGTCTCGATCTAGTTGGGGAAGTAACTGTTTCGTTGCTGTCAATTTCTTATGTCCACTTAGTCGTAAGCATAAACGTGCGCGAACCAGAGCGTGATCAGAGTCTACGCACGTGTTCCAGAAGGAGCGACAGTCTTCTACTGACCCTCGCCAACGATACCCTATGGCTATGTGGTCTATCTGAGTCCAGTGTTGATTTGGTGATGGAGGTCGCCAGGTTACACAAATTCTTTCTTTGTGCCTAAAGTTAGTGCTGACAAGGAACAGGTGATTACCTGAGCAAAACTGAAGAAGACGATCACCGTTGTCGGTTCGTCGTCAGGGAACTCCATACGTACCACCTACATACTTCTCGGTCTGGCACAACTTCCCTACTTGGGCATTGAAGCCGCCTAGTCTCGCCTAGTTTACTAACTGGTACTAAACCGGGCGGCGGGAGTGTGTTGAACGCAATCCCACCGCGTAAAGTGAAGCAACACCATTATTAATGAAATTTAAACCCCACAGGCCTGAATACACACATGTTCCCGTTGGAACTCAAGAAATGAAAATAATAAAAAAATAAGATGATCGGTAAACTCAATGAAAATGAATCAGCTTCACAGTTAGTCTTGTATTCGGTTGGTGTTTGTTTGAATTCAGTTTCTAGTACAGATGTTTCATGTCTCACACCTATTGTCAATGTGCATCGATGTCCAGGGTGAAGAAGATGGGTTGAGATTTGAACCCGAAATGCACTGGTTGACTGAAAGTTTTTGATTGGTTGGAGGATCTCATCACGAGCTGACATCAGTTAGAGAACCATTGGAAAACCTAGGAGTACTGAACAGCCGTTTCGTCCTAGTTTGGGACTCTCCATCAGTATGCACCTAGGGCCTGCTGGTTACAAGGAGAGCTCGTAGACTATTAGGCCACTGGGACCCGATCCAATGGCCAGCGCATGAATTCTTACTTCTGCCAATTTATGACATAGCGCCCACTTCGCAATGTCTTCTTCGATTAATTACTGCCTCACCTTCAACCTACTGAACCCTATTGGTCACGGCTTTGTTGGAGGATTTCATTGCGTGCTGACACCAGTTAGAGAACCATTGAAAAAACCTATGAGTACTAGACAGCTGTTTCGTCCTAGTTTGGAACTCTTCATCAGCTTATGACGATGATAATGATGTCAGATCATGATGAAAGCCTCCAACCAATCAAACAAAATCCCTACAAAACCAATACTTGAAAGTCCTTGAACCAATGAGTCATATCTTCCCTGCTAAAAATGATTTCTTCGTAATTTGCATAACTTTATAAATAAGTAAAGCTGGTTTTGATTTGCAAACGTCAGGCTGCTGCAATCTTTTTATTCTGCTGTGTTGAAACTCAAGTCAATCGAAACTCATGTTCTGTGAACGATACAACAATGGGGATCAAATCTCTCGAATTCAACGTATGCGTTCTAATCTTCTTTTACATACACCTTTAATGTCATCATCCGATTGTTTTATCTGATAAGATACGGTGTAAGAAAATAATTTAAAGTGAAGAGTAATCAGTCATTAGAAGAAGATCAAGCATCTAACTGTATTCAATGCAGTTATTCAACTTAAATTGTAGGCTACGCCACACTTTTTAAATTCACAGAATACAATGAATCATAATTCCGAATTATGCAGCTGTATTTCCTTATGGGCGGATGACTTATGTTTGATGTCACACAAAATCGAAGACTTACAAGTGAAAACCGAAAAACTGGTCGAAGAGGCTGGCAGCAAAGACAGGACTCCAGGTGAACATAGACAAGACGGAAGTTATGAAAATAACCAACCAACAACCAGAGCCAATCACCATCAACGCGAGGGATTTGAAAGAGGTTACTTCATTCACTTATCTAGGGAGCATTGTCTCAACTACAGGAGGAACGGACGAGGATGTCAAATCGAGCGAGAATCGGGAAGGCGAGAAACACATTCATCAACCTGAAACCAATCTGGAAATCTTCGTCACTCCTCAACATCAACAACAAAATTCGGATTTTCAATACAAACGTCAAGTCAGTCAGTTCTTCTATACGGATCAGAAACTTGGCGGTGGGTCACAAAGAATATTTCCAACAGCCTGTTGCAGACCTTTATCAACAACTGTCTTCGCTCTATACTCAAGATCAGATGGCCGGAAAGAATCACCAACAAGAAACTATGGGAACAAACAAACCAAGAACCAATCGCTTAACAAATATGCAGGAGAAAGTGGAGATGGATTGGACACTCGCTGAGGAGGCTGCTGGGTGACATCGCGCGTCAGGCCCTCGAGTGGAACCCGAAAGGGAATCGGCGAGTGGGACGTCCAAGGGTGACATGGAGGAGATCGTGTGATGAGGAACTGAAACAGTATGGACTAACCTGGATGCAGGTGAAAAATATAGCAGAAGACAGAAGCAAGTGGAGACGTGCAGTTGAAGCCCTATGTTCCACTAGGAACCCAAGGGAACAATAAAAAATAACAATAATAAATGAACCTTAAATTCGACTTATGCAGCTATATTTCCTTATGGCCTGTTTACTATCTCATAAGAATGATTCCTGTCAACGGAAGATTGGTATTAGCCTAAATATCTCATTATTTGATTTAGTGTCACGGGATACTGACGAAATTGAAGGCTTCCTATAGTAAAATTATCCCCAAGATTCAACAGCAATTTCAAATGCTTTTTAAAAAAATCTTTGAATATTAAGTGAATACAGTGAACTTACACAGTTTTAATATTTGGACGTTGATGCCAACCAGGACGTAGTTTATCAGGTGGTTCTGGCCACATAGGTCCTTCTACATCTGGATCTTTTTGACTGAAAAAAAATAATGTGGAAAAAAAAAGAAACACTTACATCAAAGTAAAACACAAAATATTGATATTGCCTATATCATAGTAAGAGACTAGTTAAATCAAAAATTATAATGAATCTTTTTGTATGCTTGACTCCATGAAGGTTAAGTGGTAACGGGTTAGGCATCGATTCAGATTTAAAAAATATGAATTCCTTCCAGGTATCTACACAACTTAAAACAAATAAAATCCTAATTTTCAAGTGTTGGTTTGCAGGCAGGATTTGATTTTTTTCTCCAATCAGAGAACCATTGGAAACGACGAAGTACTGGACAGCTGTTCCAGCCTTGCCTGGGAACTCTTCAGAAGTACGCATTCATAATCCCACCACCAGTAGTCGAACTAATGACCTGCAAGTTACAAGGCCAGCTAGTTGACCATTCATCCACTGTCACTAGTCAGTCAATGACAATAGGATGAAGTTGAGTGAAATTCTAGTAGGGAGTCATGATTAATGGGGTTTCACCAGTTTGGATGTAGGGAAAAATACTAGTGAATGACAATGGTTGGAGGCCGCGCTATATGTCGTGAACTGGTAATAGTTAGAATTTATGGGTCATTGGATTCCGTCCCAGTGGCTGAATATCATCCTGCTGAAAGGAACTAAATTTAGCAGACAAACAATTTTCACACATATATGTAACAAAATCTTTGAATTTTCCACCTGTATATTTTTATGTCTCTAATTGCACATTTTCCAACAATCTATTAATAGACGAATACATACTATAAAATGGCTTCAAAATGAATTCTGTTGTGGTGAAAATTAATATAAACATTACTTTACAAATTTAATTGGTGGATGGTGACTAGCAGTGGAATCCAGGAGAACGCGCATTTCGTCCTATTTGGGACTCGTCAGTTAGTGGATGTACCTGCATCCCCCAGTGAGTGATGATGTTCCCACCGAAACTGGAGCCCAGTGCTCATAGTTCCAAACGCCAAAGCGTTATCCACTAGACCTTTTGGGCCCCGAGAGCCATCTCTTGTGCAACGAGTCATATTAATTATTTAATTGAATTTCAGATTTTCCCATTGATTAATTAGACCAACATGTCAACCTGAGACTGAGCACTTCGGTCCAATCAATCGACGGGAAAATCTGAAATTCAATTAAATTACTTTACAAACATGTAAGAACACCCTGTTTACAATACATAAACTAGTTTTTTTTGCTAGGTAGTACGTTAGCTAAAGAACAACTGTTTTCACGGATGTCAATTCAAGGTGGCTATGCAGCAGTCCTCTCCAAATTTTTATTTTATTTGTAAACTAGAATATTCAATGTCTTCTAATTTATATCATTAGCTGTTGTTATCTTTAGAGTAAATCACAATTATATTTACCAATCAAGTTATGACTACATGATTAACTGTCATCTTATACAATGGAGCTTCTAAAATGCCTGGCTGTAAATTGATATGTTTGAACCCAATCATTCTGAAGAGGTGTTTCGTGTACAAGGCTAAGAGCAGCACTTATCTTTTGAGAACTGGTGATGCTACCCAACTGGTGAAGTGAGACTCGAACACGTGGACGGTAGGCTGGAGATTAGGCTCTTAAGTCAATGAGTCGTGTCTCCGTGTTTATATCAATGTGACACCAGTTGACTGAGTGACAAAGTTCGTGAGATACAAAATATTGTGTGAAGTGTATATAAAATTCAGGTACCACCACAATAATTATAATAATGTGATCAAATAGTTAAAGTAGAATGAAGCGGAGTTGAAAATAACTTTTTTTCTTTCAATGATTCGTCACTAATGTTACATAATAATTTCTATCTTAAGTAAAAAACATCACATTAACCTTGAATATTTTCGGAGACTCCAGCAGGTTTGAACCTTACTTCAAAGTTTATGTCTAAGTATGATAACTAACTGACTGACTGTCTGATTTTCGACATAAAACTTTGTACACAAAATTGCAGTACTTTAAGTTGCTACACTTCGCATAGCACACAAATGTACAGAAAAGTGACAAAACAAGGCGCTTCAAAAGAACAGTAATAAGCAGAAATGTGTGCGAGAAGGAATAGCAACATGAAAAGCCATGAGGACTCAATGGATTTGAGAGATCACAGAGTGAAGGTATCTGCACCAGTGAGAACGACTTTGACCATTGTTACCAACTGTCCCCAGTAATTGGTTCTCAACGTTTCAAGGACTCCAATCAGGCAGTCTACACTCTCCTTAAGTGTCTGGTTCAAACTCACTGTCAAAAACCTCATGGATTGATGATACCAGGCTTTAGTTTGACCACACCTTACTCTTTTCTAACCCAACTGTATGTCAGCTAGCATTGCTTATCGAGGAAGGTAGTGAATCAACATGTGCGACCCGTGTCTTAGCCATCTTAATCGATTTAGGTTTATAACCTCATTGACTGACTTAATAAAAGATTAATGTGCAAAACTGGACAACACAAATATGCATCTACTTCGAAAAGAATTACTATTAATCAAATTCGCAATTTGCAAATTAGTTCACACACAGTTTTGTAAATTAATTCTGCATTTACACAGTTTGAGGTAACTATTTCATCACCAAAGTTTCTTTAGGAGATCAAGATTATTCAGATCATAATATATGATCTGCTTGAATTAACATCACTAAACAGGTTATCTGAATAAAAGATTCCGAAGTTTCTAATCTAATAACTGATTGTAGTCTATCCTAAACCAGTCTGTCTGTCTGTTTTCGACATAGAACTTTGCACATATGTGCGGCAGTTCAAGTCGCCACACTCCCTCCTTGTAGCACACAAAGCAAGAGAAGAAAGTAGAAGAAATGCATAATATAGTCAGTAAACAGAGGTGTGAGACAAAGGAATAGTAATAACGAAGAACAAAACAGTTTAATTGGAAATCGTAAGTCACAAGGAGTGGATGCATCTGCGTCAGCCATTGACAACGATTTTGAGCCATATCACCAATTGTTTCCAACAATTGGTTTTTACCGTCCCAAGGACCCCAACCAGGAAGCCAGTCCACACCTTCCTACGTGGCTTAAACTAACTTGTCTAGGATTTCCTTGACTGGTGCCATGTTTTGGTTTGACCGCGGCTAGCTCTTTTCCAGCCTGGCCCTATATCAGCTAACATTGCCCGTCGAAGAAGGCGATGACTAGGCATACGTAACACATGTCCTAACCATCTCAGTCGATATAATTTCACAGTCTCGTCGATTGATTTCCCTTCCTTACCTAGCACTCGACGCCTAACCTCAATATTGCTCACCCTATTATACCACTTCACACGGGAGATAGAATGCAGACACCTATGATCGAAGACAGCTAATCTTTTCATGTCTTCCGCTCTCAATGACCAGGTCTCACAGTCACAAAGGAGGACGGAGCGGACTGTTGAGCAGTACACACGTCCTTTGGTCGATAGTCGGATATCACGTCTACGCCAAAGACGGCGTAAACTGGCATATGCGAAACTAGCCCTCTGTATCCGTGATGAGATTTTGTCAGAGATCAACCCGTTGGGGCTGGCTGATGGTAATTCCCAAATAAGTGAAGCGGTCAACGTGCTTTACCACTTCACTTCCTATTTCTAATCTAGGAGTCGGTGTAGTCCAATCCTGTAACATCGTCTTGCATTTGGCCGGAGCGAATCGCATGCCAAACATTCGTAGATTGCCGCTCAATGTGTTCAGAAGACTCTGAATTTTGTCAGCGTCATCGCCTAGAAGGACTATATCGTCTGCATATTCTAAGTCAACGAGATTATTCCCTGGTAGCAAGTCAATCCCTGAGTCGCTGAAGTGAGTTAGTGTTAAATCCATTAGTGATATTGATAAAAAACAGAAATAAATACACAAGAACAGTAGGGAAATTTTACTTCCTCCCTCAATAACAAACAGTATTCATCGTTAAGAAAGAAACAGTGCGTTGGTGGTTCATTGGTAGAATGCTCATCAACTAACCGCATATCACGGATTCGATTCCGAGCCAACACACTCTTGAACTTTGCCAAGTCAGTAGTAAGCTCGGTAGGTAAGGAGAGAAGGTCGGACATAAAGCTAGCAACCCTATCTCGTAAAAATTCCACCCCCCCCCACCCCGTTAATAAAACTTAATAACCAAAGTTTTCAAAGCTTTCACTGGGGACAAAAAAGGAATCAAGAAAAAGAAGAAATTAAAAAAAAGGCATAACATACTTCTCGAACTCTAATACTTTTAATTCTTCTTCCAGTTCAATTAATCTACATTTTAGTTCATTTCTTTCATGTAGTAGATAGCGTAATTCTTCTAGTGATATATTTTCATTACTTGGTTCACCTTCCATTTTGCTTGATGTATTATAAACATTGGGGCAAGATTCTAATCCTTGTCCAACTGATAAATGTACCACTGATTCACAAGCATCAGCCTATATTGTAAGTAAATTACAAGTGAATACAGCAGAACAACACATAATGACAAAAAAAGATGACAATTGCCTAAAAATTTATACTAAGGGAAAAATTTACAAAAATTATTGTATAAACGTTGAGGTACAACAACCTTTATCCATCATATGATTTAATGTAAACATCGCACCTTAAGTAAGTTCAAGAACTCGTAGGCAACATGTCAACAGAAAAAGAAGTCTAACATTTCAGTTCAATTAGTCGACGGGAAAAACAAAAATTGACTTAGACAAAGTGATAACTGTATCCCCGTTGCACAAGAGATGGCTCTCATGGCCCAAATGATCTAGTGAATAACACTTTGGAGTTTGAAACAAAGGCTTCGAGTCTCAGTGAGTACATCGTCCCTCAATCAGGACTGCAGGTACATCCAGCTGACGAGCCACAAATAAGACAAAATGCACGTCCTGAATTCCACTGCTAGTCACAATCAATCAAATAACATTGTTGTTGACACAAGTGAAGAGAATTTAGCTTTTACAATGATTGTTCAAACGATTGTTCGTGAACCAACCACGTCGATTCACAATGAAATAATCTTCTTTAGTTCATCTCGAAATTCGGCGTCGATACATGAATTCTTTGACTATTGGTTTGAGTCAGCCATGTAGGGAGATTTAGAGTACCTGATTGGTTCCCTTTAGATGAAAAGAACCAGTGGGTGGAGACTATAGGTGATATGGCTCAAAATCATTCTCAATGGTGCAGATGCATTCACCCACTCTTTACATTCTCACTAATCTATTAAATCCCCATGTTTCTCCATGTTACTATTCCTTCTCGCACACATTTCTACTTGTTACTGTTATTTTGAATCTCCTTTTCTTTCTTTTCTCGACATTTATGTGCTATATGGAGTGTGGCAACTTGAAGTAGTCTACTTCTTTTTGCAAAGTTTTACACGGAAACTCAGTCAGTTGGTTTGTTCACTTAAGTATGATTGTAAATTTCATTGTCCTTCAGGTAGGCTAAATGCACTGCTTATGCCTGCCGTAGCATTTCCAAACAACAGTTGTAATCACCTGATTTTGTCTTCAATTACTGATTATCTTTCAAAGTAAAATCAATCATTGGTTGTGTAACAATCCATTGAAGAACCAAACAATAATATATATATACAAATAAAAAAGCATTCTCGACAACGCTACACTGTTGACAGTTATCGCTGAACACCGTGAAGAAAATGAAAATCATCCTAAAGAAATAGTGAAAGTAGTTGAGGCTTCACCATGACCTGATTAATAACACTGTAGAAATCAATAACGGGAAACTCTAAATGCTATAATGAAAAAGATTCAAGTTTAAAAACATGCACATACACATGCGCGTCGGTGGTACAGCGGTAGAATGCTCACCAACCACGCATGTGGTTCAGGGTTCGATCCCCTGCCACCAACGCACTCCTTCACCTCTCTAAGCCAGTAATAAGACTGGTAAAGAGGGAAGGTTGGGCATGAGGCTAGCAACTCCATCCCGTAAAAATAAACACCAATGCTACGGAAACTTCAAGCCTCTAGCTTGAAGCCCTATGTTCCACTGGGAACGTAAGGGAATAAAAAAAACAAAAAAACACAACTGGGCTAATTTTGATGATCGCATACAACAATACTACAAGAACCAAATCTAACTACACATAAAGGCATACAGCATTATCAATATGAATATTGGTTCTTTGGTTTCCAGGTAGAATATACAGCTTCAGGAGTACATATTCATTTCACTCTATTCTATGGCTCCACAGCTGTCCATAAGCCTTCATTTTCCCTCCATTCGATGGCTTGGAGTGTGATGTCAGTAGATGGTTCCGAAAAAAGAGTTAAGGTTGGTTGTTGGGCTAACGAATTCACCCTTTAAAAAGGAACCCTATGGCTAGTAAAACTTTAAAGCAAGTGTATACAACATAACTGCGCTCTATCAATACATATATAAATATCTAAGCCACGGAGATGAATAATGATGAAAATAATGTAAATTTCTACGTGGTTGTGTTCCCTGAGCTGGATGATTTCATTCCACAGTCATACTACAAACCAATCAAAATGATGAAAATAATATCAATTATCAAATCACAGATCATTTACCCCTGCTCCACAACCATGAACACGTGCAACGTCATCAGATGACAGTTTTCCAAGCAAATTAGTCAATTCTCTTTCTTTTAGGCATAATTGTGCCTCAAGTGTAGCTTTCTCAGACACAAGTTGACCAGTTTGACGTCTGTGTGGAGCGCGAGATGCCATCAAATGACCACTTTGACGAGCTAACCGGCAGACTTCTTCTTCTGACTAAACCAAATGTTAACAAAAAGAAAAGATGTACGACGTGTTTTTAACTATTAGGGATTACATTCAACAATTAATTTAGAATATCTTCCACTGATAACTTTTTGATATTAGGGACCATGAAACAGAAGAATGTATCTGATACCAATAGTAATAATAAAACATTAAGTACTTCGTGCTTTGATAGATATGGATGCTTGATATTAAAATGTGTATTTAAAAAATAGTGTTTACCATTCCATTTATAAGACAGTGTTTCTTTTCTTAATGTATGTCAAACAACAGGCGTATAATACATACCCCAGGTTTCTTCTTAGCGCCTAATTACAACAATGAGTGGAAAGAAAGGTGATCGAAACATCTTAGCACTTACATTCGAGCGAATTAATTTATTTATTCTGGAAAACTCTACATTAAGAATGTCATGTAACCGAATTTATGAGCACTCTCTTGTTTGTATATTTGTTAACACAAGGTTTATAATACAAAAATATCATGCAGTAACTGTAAGGACAGAAGACAAGGGCCACGCAACAGATCGCCTATTGAGAAAATCAACAGATATTTATAGATTTTTATGTACATTATTATTAGCGTTATTGTTAGCACAGAAGCAACGTCTACTGATTGGTTGTTTTCTTGCTGTAGGTTATTCTGTACTGCTTGTGACCGTTGCTTACAAAGTTAAGCCATATATCTGCGAATCATGTTTGCATGCACTAAGTCTGCCGTGATTGGTTTTCGAGTTCCTCAAGGTTAGACCTTGTTCTTGTTTTTCCTCATGACCCGGATTCGGGACGTAAACATGGACGTCAATAGTTGTCTACAATTTTGTCTTGCAGACAGCTCTCACCACATACCACCATGTCATCTGGTGTTCATATTGTAACAACAGAAGGCAAGACACAGAAGCCGAGGTATATCTTCAAGTGATCAAACCGCTATTTATATCTATACAGTTTTATATTCTCTAACCAATCATTGAGCGTGTGATTTTGGCTTACATTAAACTACATGAAATAGAATGCTCAAACACATATATTATTCTGTTGCTAATGCAGTAGTGAACTGTGGGAATATGTGAGAATAATATTCCGTTGGAACATATTGTCTGTATCACACCACCACAATATCACTTCTTAAAACATAATCAATTATTACACAAAATCAGCTTGTTGTTAAAATGCATGTGTTCGCAGGATCTATACTACTAACGACAGTGAGACTGTAGATAAGCTTTGCCTTTGTTATTATTACACAACTACACAGGGAAAAACACGTAACTGATCAGCTAAGAATGAAATTTCGGTACTGTAGCGGTAAATAACCCCCCCCCTCCAAAAAAAAATTATTAGCCTAGAGCACTCATCAATCAATATTGGATGCTGACCATCATTGTTTAAGTCGACGCGTTCAGCTCAAGGCTCGTGATCAAGAATCCATGCTATGTGGCACACACCGTCGTGTCACGTTAGTCTGCTCGTTTCTGCTAGTTAAGCATTTAACATCGCACTACGATTTTGATCCCGAAATATACTGAGTGATTTTGGCGACTGACTTGGTGTTTTGATTTGCTTTTAGTCTACCGAGAACAAATACTAATACCAATAATAATAATATTAATAATAATGAATAATAGCTTTATAATGAACAATAATTTTACACAATATACACAATTTTCAGCACGGTTTATTACATAATATATTTTCTTCATCAAGTATTTCCAGGTAAAACAGACATCTTCACTACATCATGTGATAAAATGCTGTTCGATCTGGAGTATAAATTAGTCCCTTATTACATTTTTTGTTTCACTTCCAAGAAATGCGCACCAGTAGGTTTAAAGACCATTAAAAGTGTACATGAGTACAGTTTGTGAACCACAGACACAACTAAATGATCACAACAACACAAATTAGAGAAAATAACATGCACTGCAGCGGCTGAAAATTCAGCTAGTCAAGTAATTTAAGCAGACCACCTATATGATAGTGGGCTAATGTATGAGTAGTAAGAACTTGCGCTGGTATACATCGTACTTTGCGGAAACGTTATCTCTTTTATCTTCTAAAGCACATACGAGAAATTTGTGCCAAATTCGAAATTAGTGACTCATTTCAACACCATGAGAAGCAGAAATTACGTGAAAGTTGAAATACACTATCATCGTACAAAAATATCTCATTTGGTTAAGTGAATACCAGATAAAATGAATACACGGCTTTCTCTGTGCTATTGATCTGAAAGTCAGTAAGGTCAAACCTTGTTGGACAAAACATGAGTTAAAATTCTACAGTGCATTACACCAAAACAATGCAATAAAACCGATAGAAGTTTACTGAAGCTCAAAAACTGATGAGTTAACTCGAATACAATAAGTGTGGTAGGTACACGCAATGCATCGATTAACATTTGGTTCATAAAACAGTGAGTGATCTTTAAGTAGCTTTATACAAACCCAGTGGCTTGGCGAATAGTCATGGATACATGTATTATTCTGCCTAAAAGCTAATGACATCAACAATAACAAGATCCCCACAGACATTTCGTAACCGTATGCAACACGATACCACCTTAAGGTGACGAGTAGTAGAATTGAATTAAATAATCAGTTGTACAGTTAGGGATGTCAAACATGAAAAAAATTTCACTTACAGCATCTAATGAGGCGCTCACTTCGGCTAATTCACGACGAAGTTTTCGAGCTGACTTGTAATTAATTGCTACGCATTCTTTCAATTGTTGAATTAACTGAAGATCAGCAGCACGATCTATGGAATTGAAGGAAGTCAATCATGTTGCCGAATGGAAATTTTATCAAAATATAAAAAACAGGAAGAAAAAGAATTAACTCGTTACTATCGTCAACACAGTGCATTCATATTCAACACGGAGAGATAGATCAGCATAGAGGCTTGCAGGAACATGTAATACTTCCAAAAAGTTAACATAAAAAAGAGACACATATGTGGTGAAATATGATGGATAAACATGGATATGAGGAGAAAGAGAACATTGTGAACGATTATGGACTATGTTACCAAGACATTCCAGTCGTTGAGGATTGCAGTTAGCTAAACTAAACTTTTTCACAGGTATCTAATCAAAAGACGACGACTTCGTGAATTCATGCCATATTCTAACCTGACTAGTCATAAAACCTTTACCAACTCAATCTCATACTAGTTAAAATACTTCATCGAAGGTGGTAACACGACACGTTCAGCAGATGTACGAGTCAAATTAGTGAACTGACATTCACAGGTTTATAATTTAACTTGACTTTCTTCCTTAATACCGCTTTTAGCTTTCAGTATTATTGATTCTGTAGGATTAAAATATACACGTAGCCGTGTAAGGGCTTATGGGGAATTGTCATCTGAATTGTTAACAACCAGTGGTGTCCGTCAAGGATGTCCACTTTCCCCATTTCTGTTTACCTTCATCATAGATATGCTAATGGAAGTATCCTTAACTGAACTTAACGACTTAGGAATCGACTTGTCACCAAGGTATAGTCTTATGGACTTAGAATATGCAGCTCGGGCTGCTTTCGCTAACTTACACCGTCTCTGGCATAGGCGTGACATCCGGCTATCAACCAAGGAACATGCGTACTGCTCAGCAGTTCGCTCCGTCCTTCTTTATGGCTCTGAAACATGGCCAATACGAGTTGAAGAAATGAAAAGGTTGACTGTTTTTGATCATAGATGTCTACGATCTCTTTCTCACGTTAGGTGGCATAATAAGGTAAGTAATGTTGACGTTAGGTATAGAGTGTTGGGAGAAGAGGGAAAATCAATCGAAGAGGCTATAAAGTTACATAGATTGAGATGGCTAGGTCACGTGCTGCGCATGCCTAACCATCGCCTCCCCCGACGGGCATTACTAGCTGATATAGGTGCAGGTTGGAAAAGAGTAAGCGGTGGCCAAACAAAAACATGGCATCAATCCATGAAATCCTTGACAGTTAAACTGAGTCAGGTAGGGAGATGCAGACTTCCGGGTTGGGGCCCTCGGGACTCTCAGAATCAATGACTGGAGACAATAGGTGACATGGCTCAAAATCGTTGTCAATGGAGCAGATGTATTCAGTCTCTGTAATCTTTCATATTCCTTTCTACCATTACTCATTCTGTTTCACTCTTGTACTTGTCAAAGCTCTATTGATTCTCTTCACTCATTTTCTTGTCTACGTTTGTGTGCTATTTGGAACGTGGCAACTCGAAGTGCTGCACTTCGGTGCCAAGTTCTATGTTGAATCCAGACGGTCAGACAAAAATGAAGACCTATGATTAAAAATCTGTATCCATTATGTCTTTAGCATTCATTGACCATGTCTCATAGTTACATATATATACAAATGATTTCATAGAGTCAAGGTATTTCACTACACCTTGATCAGTTAATTTGAATTTAGTTTCTAATAACTAAGTTATCTTAACTGTAATTGTTAATAATTGTTGACTGACTGCAATCAGCAAAAAGAATTTTCACATTCTTTAGCACAACTTACACATAATCGATGCGTTGACTAAGAATACTTTAGAAAGATTTGGTCTAGAAACTAATCAAAAATGCATAACTACTTATTCAAATGAAACTTTAAAACAAGTAATTGGTATGAATACATAAAACAAACGGAAATAACTCAGGTCGCCTATAACGTATTAAACCATTAAACTTACTCTCTTTGTCTGTTAATTGTATCCTTTCTTCAGTTTCTAACAATAAGCTAGACATCATATTAGATATTTCTGCTTCTTCTTTTTCTTCTTCTTCATTTGACTTATTTTTTAGCTGAGCGTGAAATTTATCCAAGTCATGTGAAGTTGGAACACCGCCGCCTTCAGGAGCCAATTTGGCTTTGGCTAATAAAAAAGCGCCTACTTTTGGGTGAGATGAATTGCATTCATTAGGATCACAGCATCGTAAACATTTATTCAAAATCTTGGACTTTTCGCCTGCTTCTTCTTCTTTGTGTTTCTCCTTTCCTCTAACTTCTTTATCACACGATGAAATTAACTGATGTGTTAAACGAACATTTTCTTCTTCTAATTGAGATATTGTTTCTAACAACTTTTGACTTTCACAATACCAGCTTTGTTCAAGTTGTTCTAAACTCTGAAAATAGAATAAGAAACTAGAAAAGTGCCTAAAATTCCAACAAATATCCATCTATGCAAATTTCCTTTCTATACCCAAATGAAAAGGTGTTTTTATTCAGTTAACAACACCAAAATAGTACGTAGTTTTATTTTCTGAAACTCGTAAAAACACAAGGGGCAAGTGGACTAACCAAGTGATCTGTTTTTAATCAAGAATATTGTACTAACGACATGGGCTCGCTAAGGTCTGCAAAAAGCTTCATGGTTTGTAAGTCACACTCAAAAAGTAAACAGTAGTAAGGCATTTCTGACTAGCATCAGCGGAAACCAGTCGATTTCAGCCCACTAGAAGTCTATAGCCACTCGTTAAACTAATGTTCAGTCACTTTGCAAGGAATAGAAGTAAAAACAATATGATGTTAAAACACCACAGATTTCTATTGGGAGATTTAGAACAGCAAGTGTAAGTGGACAGTATTGATTTCAATTGGACTTCATCAGGCTTCACTCTAATATACACACCTTTACAAATAAATATTAAATATAAACCAATCATGGTGATTTGTTGATAGGATGATATGATTTTGCATATAAATTGTACAATTAGTCATGACAGTAATAACTCTGTCAACAACGAGGATAATGAAACACGTCATTACTGAGCTAACAAATGTTCAGATAGATGTAGTAGATAAAGGCCGAGAAAGACAAATAATTAGATTAAGTAATGTCAGATTGTAAGAGAAGTGAATAAACTATGTTTTAATGAAGGTGCAATAAGACTGAGGGTTGATAAGAAAGAGATCACATATGTCAAGAAATTACTGAAACGCGAATTTACGTGGAAATGCTGATGTGAAGCCTCAATGAACTTTTCCTTAAATGTACACCTTGTCTTCAACAATTCATAATATCGCTATGAGTTCATAAATGGGCCCAATATTATCAGACTTCTTCCTTGCAAAACCTGAAAATGGACTATAGAATGATATCATCGATCAGTAGGATATGTTGGTGATACACTTAATTAGTGAGAATGTTTATATAAATGAAATGTCAGTGAAATCTAACAATATCCACCTTTCACTCACTTTCACTTGTGGAGAAGAGCAGGATAACACTGCATTTTCTGGATTTCTCGGTAAGTAGGTGAGATATGTTGCTTCGGAGAAGCGTGTATTGGAAAAGCACATTCATAGAGCAATTAACAACCTTCTTTAGTTATTGACTCTGATTTTCTATCCAATTTGTTCATGATTCTATAAAAAACTACTCGGGAAACCCATTTCCATCAAACAATCATGAATATATTTGAATTCACTTTGTAAATGAGGTGATCGTAATTCGAATTATCAAGCCTTAACTATGTATTCAGAAGCAACTGACTATACCACCACCCTATATATATATATATATATATATCTTATCACTTCCATTAAAACATAGTTTATTCACTTCTCTTTCAATCTAACATTACTCAGTCTAATTATTTTTCTTTCTCGGCCTTTATCTACCACGTCTATCTGAACATTTGTTCGCTCAGTCATGACGTGTTTCATTATCCTCGTTGTTGACAGAGTTATTACTGTCATGACTAATTGTACAATTTATATGCAAAATCATATCATCCTATCAACAAATCACCATGATTGGTTTATATATAATATTTATTTGTAAAGGTATATATATTAGAGTGAAGCCTGATGAAGTCCAATTGAAATCAATAATGTCCAGTTACATTTGTTGTTCTAAATACGATAATGTACTAAATAAATCAATTTATACAGACTGATTACAAGCTATATATTATTGATATGATAAAATACAAAAGTTATGAACAGGATTCACAAAAAATCACCTTACATTTTTTGGTTAGTCGTTTAACAGCTTAATACTATACTGACAATTACACAATTAATTGGCTGTTGAACATACTGAGGTACGTATACATTAACGCATCTCTAAAACAGCGAGTAAGAACCTTCAAGAAAATATATCCACCCTGCTGAAGTATGAGAATGTTTCTGTTTTTCTCCAAAGCTACGGAAGACATCGACGGGAATTCACCTTTTTGAACCCTAAGTGGTTACTAGTCACTCAATGGGAAGATCACTTATACATATAAAATAGCAGAGATTTACGAATTGTAAGCGTCTGCCAAATATAAATAGAGACGCTTACATCTTTTCTCATAGGATATCGATGCAACCAACACATTTTTTACTTGCATCAATGAAAATGAGCATCAGTGGCACAGCGATAAAATACTCGCCAACCATGCACGTGGTCCGGGGTTCGATCCCCAGTCGATAGATTCCTTCACCTCTCTAAGCCAGTAATAGGAGTGGTAAAGAGGGAAGGTTGGGCATGAGGCTAGCAACCCCATCCCGTAAAAATAAACACCACTCATATCGAAACTTTAAGGCTTTGGCTTGAAGCCCTATGTTCCACTGGGAACGTAAAGGAATTTAAAAAATCAACGAAAACTATAACAGATTTCAGACAAAGGTTAGTTTATCGTAAATATCATTACAAATATATTAACTAAGGTGTTGTAGAACAAGTTGGCATTTGAAAGTAACTCTAATGAACAAAATGCGTTTCTCCTACAGGCTTTGTATTTTCCCTGAAAAATCAAAACACTACACCAGTAGATGTATCCCGTAACCGCTAAGCATAAAAACTACCTAGTATAGTGTATGGAAAGGGAATTTATGTCCTAAAAATGATCTAACCTTATCACATTTATCTTTCAGCAATAAATCTGATTTCTGTTCCTCACGAAGCTCATCTGCAAGTTTCTGAAGACGTGCGATCTCCTCCTTTTCTTTGTCACAGTAAGTGGTACAGCTTTCTAATTCTTCCAAAATGTAGATTATTTTTGGCATAAGATTCTGTAACAAGTCGTCGCCGTATTCGTCCACAATCAGTTGACATTCACGGCCAATGGATAAAGCAGCATCATATACATCCATTGTAGTGAACATCGCTCACTGGTTTAAGTTACTCAATGGAAAAATTGTGGATAATCTAGAAGAATATAGTGTCTGAAATTCAGAAACAGAAAAGAAGTTTCAAACTTAGGAAAACAGAACTATGATTATACTTTAACTTCGCTTTTGGATGTTAATAACTGTGGGAAGGTATTTATAGTAAACTGTCATTACTATGAATATGGGACAAAACAAAAGCAAATAATCTATTAGCATACTAAATGCAAGAGGTTGCAAAGGTCCTATCGCAACTATCTCTCGTATTAACAGAATGTTACCATGAATTTTCAACATTTTGCAAAGCATTTTTCCAGCTTTCCTTTCCATCAATCTTACCAGATACGGGTTAAATATTTCTTGATTCTCTAGTCTGTCTCAACAAATCATAAAATCGAATTGGTACCATTGCATATTACTGTATACTGTTTCACTAACCACAAAAGAACGCTGTGACGATTTTTACACATACACGATGAAATGTCTTTGCAACGAATATCTCATTGTCATTGACAACCCAAAAAGTGACCTAGTCAGTAGTAGTCTCTATTAGCATATTTCAGAATGCAAGAACCCAAGTACTAACTGCGAGGAAAGAGCACAATTTTGGACTGCTAGTTCAGTTCCCAAGTATGAGACTCAATAATCCAGCCAAAAACTGACTACAACACTCAGCTTTCTAATTAACAATAAATTAAAACATTTGAATCCATGCACATCTTTCTGTCTGGATTCAATATAGAACTTGGCACCTTACTTTACTTTACTTCGGCTATCTCCTACGGGAGGATGAGCCGGCTTCATGAACATCTCGAATCATCGCTGCCCAGGCGCGGCGATCTGATGAAGAGAGTTTATGAAGTTTCATGGGAACTTGGTACGAGTGATGTCCCCAGAATCGCTCGACCTTTTGTTTGAGAGTGCAGCTCTAGCCTTTACACAACCAAGTGTGACCTACAAGGCAGTAGGAGTGGAGTAGGGAGTCCACTATCCATTGGCAGCCGGTGACCGGAGTTCGGTTCATACGCCTTTTTGAATGGGGCCAGACATCCAGGACATCCAACAAGCCCTTTGTCCATACGTCTGCCGGTGAGCTCCAGTGAGCTTCATACGCCAGTCGTTGGAGGTTTGGAATCAGGGTTTAGCTATCTCTCCTAGACTGTCATCTAATGGACAGTCAACCCGGTGAAGAGCGCCGGGCATCCGCTTTCGCCCTCTCACTTTGGTGAAAAACACCTCCACCACGTGAAGGCAGTGAGTAGGACTTCCTCAGGAGAGGCTATGTAAGACGCCCGGTCATATGGGAGCGTTTGAAGAGGTGTGCGGAGGGGTGGCCAACCCGCAGCGCAAGGCACCCACCCCCGACCATCCTGAGGCTTTGGAGCACCGAAGTGCAGCAGTTCGAGTTGCCACGTTCCAAATGGCACACAAACGTCGACAGGAAAATGAGTGAAGAGAATCAATGGAGTTTTGACATGTATAAGAGTGACACAGAATGAGTAATGGTAGAAAGGAATATGAAAGATTACAGAGACCGAATACATCTGAGCCATTGACAACGATTTTGAGCCATGTCACCTATTGTCTCCAGCCATTGATTCTTAGACTCCCGAGGGCCTCAACCCGGAAGTCTGCATCTCCCTACCTGACTCAGTTTAACTGTCAAGGATTTCATGGATTGGTGCCATGTTTTTGTTTGGCCAACACTTACTCTTTTCCAACCTGCACCTATATCGGCTAGTAATGCCCTTCGGGGTAGGCGATGGTTAGGCATGCGCAGCACGTGACCTAGCCATCTCAATCTATGTAACTTTATAGCCTCTTCGATTGATTTTCCCCCTTTGCCCAACACTCCGCGCCTAACGTCAACATTACTTACCTTATTATACCACCTAAAGTGAGAAAGAGATCGTAGACATCTATGATCAAAAACAGTCAACCTTTTAATGTCTTCAACTCGTATTGGCCATGTTTCAGAGCCATAGAGAAGGACGGAGCGAACTGCTGAGCAGTACATACGTCCCTTGGTTGATAGCCGGATGTCACGCCTACGCCAGAGATGGCGTAGGTTAGCGAAAGCAGCTCGAGCTTTTTGGATCCGTGCTGAGATTTCGTCACCAATCAATCTGTTGGTGCATATACAACTTCCCAAATAGGTGAAGTGGTCAACATGTTCTATCACTTCACTCCCTATCACTAAGCTAGGAGTTGACGTAGTCCAGTCCTGTAGCAGCATCTTACATTTCACAGGGGCGAATCGCATGCCAAACATACGAAGATTGCTGCTCAAGGTGTTCAGAAAACTGCATTTTGTCAGCATCCTCCCCTAATAGGACAATGTCATCTGCATATTCTAAGTGCATAAGACTATTCCCTGGTAACAAGTCGATTCCTAAGTCGTTAGTTCAGTTAAGGATACTTCCATTAGCATATCTATGATGAAGTTAAACAGAAATTGGAATGGAATCCATGCACATAAGTATACTTATGTATATATCACCTTAGATGATGTTCTGATAAATAGAATAAAGATTTCTATGGTTAATTTTTTATTTTCTGTATATGGGATATATGGGTGAAAACGTGGCCAACATGGATAAAGTGGGTAAATTATGTAGCATTTTAACCCTCTTCAGCCCACATCTTTGACAATCAAAATTACCCGTTTAGCCCACATTGCCCAGGTGCATTCACTGACCGGGCAACAACCCAGCTGGGATTCGTGAGTATTCGCAGTCCAATGTCTTAAGCGAACAGAATCGTCACAAACCAAAGCTGGGAAACAAAAAAGTTTTTACATGAATTTTTTTTGCCAAACGAGTGGTTATTACAATTAATGATGACTTTTAACGTCTTAATTTCACTCACCCTCCTCAAACTGACTAACTAAAATAATAACATCATTGGTATAACATTCGGGCACAGAAAACTATATATCAGTGCAGAGTCGATAATGAGGAACTAATTGAAAAAAAATAAGTGAAAAACTTCCCTACCGATTATCACTTCCCCAAGGTCATTCGCCTTCGAATGTTCATCTGAGTGATACGTTTAAAGTCCAAGTGATGCTAAAACTTCATTTCAGTAAAATATTAGGTGACGGCCTCAGTGTGTTTCAAAATGCTTTTCAGCACTCGGCGTTTTTTATTAAGTCCCCTAGGAATAATATTTATCATGTGTGCGTCGGTGGCACAGTGGTTAGGACTCTCGCCGACCATGCACATGGTCCGAGGTTCGATCCCCTGCCGACGCACACCCGATATCTATTGTTGGCCTGTAAAATTTGGGCTACCGATATCCATGCTGAAAATGTCATACTTGTATTGAAAATACGGTGTGGCATCAAGCTGTAACCAAAAATAAAATTAAAAAATAAAATAAAGTTCCATCAGATATTCCAATCAACTTCGGACAGACAAAGACATTTGAATACACTTCTCCCATAACTTTCATGCCTAACCCTGATGCATTTTCACCATCCATTTAATGTGACAAATAAGAAAAACTACATGCAAATAAAGCATGTGTGGTGGTAGGTAGTTCTCCAGAAAAGTTAGCCACAGCATTCATCGCCAAATATTGGATGCCAACCCTCACTGTTTAAGTCTATTTGTTTGGCTGAAGTCTTACGGTCAAGCATCCATGCCACTTGGCACACCGTCGTGTTACGTTCGTTCTTTCGTGCACGATCCCTTGCTACTTAAGCAATCATCTTGCACTTCGATGTAGTCCGGAAATATACTTCGTAATTTGGACGATCGATTCTTATGTTTCGAAACAAGCCATGAAGGTTAATAAAGCAGGATTGAATAAATTCATCGAATTTCGATAGAACTCATCAGCTGAATACTCGACATACACGGATATATATACTTTTGAAATTACATTGAGAGATATAAGACTGATAAGTAAACAAACTCCGTTGAATTAGTCATGCACAATTAAATGCAGAATTCGTTAAATCCGACTTTATTAACCTTTACTGATTGTTTTAAATTCATATCGGGGAATAAATGTTCTCGATTCTGATGTTTTGCTTTACGTGGAACGAAAACTATAGAAGTTGTAGGTATAAGATCTTGCGTTGGTATAAATTGTACAATCTGTAAAAGTCAACACCCTCACTTTCTGAACAGGCAAACATTGTAATGTAGCCAATGTGTTAGATTAATTAAATATAGTGTTATTCTTCAAGACTGATTTTTCAGATAATTCACATAAAATAACACTGGCAATTTTTATTTCGTCTAGATATATGAGTTTACAAGAAATGCACTCCTACACCTTCTTTTTCATTCTTCATATGTAATAAAGTTTCACTAAATGCATTTTCGAGGTAATGGTGGAAGCCGGACATGGAGACACGTACGCAAGATGCTGTGTTGGAAACTATGCCAGAATCAGAGGCTGCGTTTGTGGGAGCCTTGCTAATCCCAATTGTTAACATATTTTCATCCTGTGTTACAACCGCATTTGATGGTAGTTGCAAGACAAACAGAGGATTTCTGTGCACTGGTTAGACTTGCAGCTTACTTTCACAATTCCTAGATGTGTGTTGCATGGTCTAGCGAATAAAGGTGTGCCATCAGACATCAGAGTAAAAGGTGATTGAGTCGGCAGCGCTTTTACTTCATTACTGTATCGAACAACTGTAAGACCACCTAAACAATACTGTCCATCTATCATTCGCAGGACCCACATATATCACAAGCTGACGCTGGAAACTGTTCAACTACACTCCACGTCCAAACTACTTGGATATGATTGCACAAAAGACTATGTCTCTCAGTTTTTCTCCATGTATTGACGCACTCTGGGCGAGGCGACTGATAAACCTTAGATTATTCTTCAAAGTCTTACACCGGATATCATTCTCAGACAGTAAGGGAACACAGCTTTCATCAGAAGCCCCTTAAAATCTGTGTATTCAGACATATACAGTGACAACAAAAACCTTTAAATCACCGCTCCATGGGAACTTCTTCACAGCCATGTATTATAAAATATGGAACAGTTTGCTTCTGGGAATCAGAACCTGCACTTCAGTTATAAGCTCCACGCCCTCTCTGTGTAGACAGTTTCATCTTCAACGAATCAGATATTAGGACACTTTAGTGTCTAAAAAAAGCGTGAAACGTCACCAACTACTCTGATCAAGCGATAAAGAAACTAAGTTCATAATGCATTAAGAGACTAAGAGATTATCAATATGTATGCTTACTGGACAGTATGCAAAATAAATGTGAACGAGTTTATGTGCCGACATTAAAGTTCTATTTGTGTCCGCATACCTTGTCTTTTTCTGGTGCTTTTCTGCTTGCCTCATCTCTTCTATTTGCCTTGTAGTAAGAGTTGCACTGACTTACAGTAAGACTGAAGTTAAACAGGAATGGAAGACACTTACGTACATATGCCAAATCACTCTTCAAGCTGGTGACTCATATTAACTGAACATCCCTAGAAACCCTCATGTTACTATATCAGGACACTATATAACATTCCGTACGAGCAACATTCATGATCCATAGTGAAGACATAACTCGTTTCCAAACAGTTTTCCACATCTTAATCAACTTACGCGTACAGAATACCGCGCAGTTGTAAATGGCAGTAGTGGCCGACTTTGAAGAACTCTCATCTTTCTGGTGCAGTAAAACAAATCTGCCTGACTATGGCCGATATTCGTCTGCATAGAGCACAGTTCACTTTTGATGTAACAGTAAGATCATACCGTTGAGGAAGTGATGCTGATGTATTACTCACCTTAAACTATCTCGCAATTTAACTATACATCAAGAATAAGATTCGATGTTGTGCACAGCAGAGTTACGTAGGAGAATTAACTTCAAGCTTTATTTTATCGTGGGCATTTGTGTTCCATCCATCACAGACCTGAGTTTTTTCCCAGTATGAAGATAATATTTCGATATTCCTCCGTGTGTTACATTGCCTAGTTAGGAGATTGCTCCCACAAACTAAGGTCAAAAAGAGCACCAGACATGTAAATTCACTACGGAACAAATTTATGTAACTTAAATAACACTCAGTCATGGCTGTACAACTGGCATGTCCCCGCACAGATAGGAATGTGTATGTTGCTATTGTGTGCGCATGGTGCCTATTATGTGGTGTGTTGTAGAGGCCATATGTCAACCGTCTCCAGAAGCGACCTTCCTTAGTATATCTGCTCGAATAACCCTTCTTTTGGGGCTAAATCTACGGCTTTCCACTGGGTGTTCTTGCTTTTGCTCAGTAAAGTATGGGGGACTAAGAGTGTAACATCAACGTGAAACGAAGCTATAATCGTCCTCATCTTCATGTGACAATCGCAGGAGAGTCAGGCTGCAACCAGCTGCGTCTAAAATATCGGCCACTGTATTGTTTCGCAGGCTGTGCGAAATACGTGATGGATCGATTCGCGAAGAGCAGGCTTGGTGTCGTTCAGGTCATGGATATATTGATCATGTGTTCACCCTTCTTAAGTTACTGGAACACTACCACACGTAGTGCAGACCAAAAATCGTTGTTTTTCTTGATATTAGGACTGCCTTCTATTCGTTGGACAGAGTTGTGCTCTGAAACTGTGTGTTAGACAGGGGTGCGCCTGAGAAGTTTGTGAACATCGGCAAAGCTCTATGCAAAAACACCTCAGGTAGAGTGAGGAAATACAACCAACTGTCATCACTGTTCCCAACGAACAGTGGGGTTAGACAGGGTTGCCCAATCTCTTCATTTCTCTCTAACTTTGCCATCGATTACATTCTGGAGTCGGATCTGAAGGATGTATGTGAAGGTTGTGTAGATCTGCGCCCTCGAGATAGACTTTTCGACCTCGAGTATGCAGACGATATCGTCTTACTGTGCGATAGCATGCAGGCTGCCCAGATCGCACTTAATAAGTTGGCAATCAGTGTCCGTAAGTATGGTATGTGCTTTGCACCGTCTTAGTGCAAAGTACTGTTACAAGATTGGCAGGAGGCTGTACCTGCACTCACTCTTGCAGGTGAACCGCTTGAAGTTGTTGATAAGTTTGTGTATATGGGTAGTTGTGTGAGTGCTGGCGGATGAGATTTCCAACCGTATTATGAAGGCTAGGGTGGCGTACATCAACTTGTGCCACCTCTGGCGCCGTCGCGACGTTAGCTCGGCTGTCAAAGGTAGGGTATACAATGCTTCGGTGCGGGCTGTTTTGCTCTACGCCTGTGAAACCTGGCCTCTCCGGGCTGAGGATGTGAGACGACTCTGCAAATGCGATCATCACTGTCCACATAGGACTGCTTGCATTCGATGGCATCATCGCAGGGGTAATTCTGAGGTCCAGCGGTGTTTGCTTGAACACAGCGGAGATCACCATTTGTTCAGTGTCTTCATTTCTTCCATTCTTCTTTAGCTGGCCCCACTGTCGCCCACAAGCTTGCATCCCCCCTTTACACGATCTCCTACGTGTCGCCCCCGGCTTCCAAATAGTTATACCACATGCGACCTCAGCTAGAGGATTTGCCTTGAGTGAAATTTCGCTCACTGCTCCCCACAGCGTATATTCGACCCACCTCCTCTTTCGATGCATCTGCTGGGCTATGACCTCCTGGTTAGTTTGCTGACACAATTACTTTCTAGTTATATTTTCTGGCCATTTGACCCTCAGTATAGAGAGCGGACAGCTGTTGATTAAAGTCTGAGGCTTCTTGGAAATAGTTTTGGTGACAGATCAGGACTATAAACCAGATGGAGGCATGTGGAAAAAGCAGTCAACTACTCTGCTTAAACAGTTTCAACTGGAAACAACGCTCACAGTTGTTTTGCGACCGTCTATTTTGCTAGTTATGCACTTTGGCCACATTTGCTTCCGACTCTTTGGCCTGGCCCACTCAACCCGGGGGGTTGGACCTAATGTTATACCAGTCAAAGTAGTACCCTAGTTGAGAGGATCATGATCGCAGAT